TGGATTTAACTTTCTCATAACGGAAGAAAACTTTATCCAAACTCAACAGAGTTTCTAGTTCTCCACCTCCTCCCAGTTCCTCCATGGGGTCAACTCACATATATTTCTTACATGACTGCACTCTGGTGACCACCTCCCTGTGGGACAGCTAGATATAACCAATTTGAGTTGTCCCACTAACCCTTACACTCCACATGGATGGCACAGACCAGCTCTTAATCACAGTGCAACTTCACAGAACTAGTGCCTGCTTGCTCTAAATCCACCAGAAACAACTCCCCGAGAGACACCTCCTTGGTCAATTCCCTGGACCCTGAGAAAAGCTTTGGCCCACAGGTCCCTGTCTGTCCTGCTCCCCACCTGCTGGTTGAATGTGCATCCTGGATGTTCCCCCCACTCTGTGTTGCTCTGCAGGTGTGCTGCCCTCATCTCCTGGGATTGTGAGCAGTGCACTGTGATGTCATGGGCTTTGTTGAGTTGTCTCTTCTGTGTCTCACTGACCTACACAATCATTCTTGGATTTGGCCCTAGTGAAAAATGCAATGTGAAGTTACTTTGAAACACTCAAGCTGCAGTGTATGAACAATTCTTTACAAGAGACAAGCCCACAGAGGGGCAGTGCTGGCTGGAACACAGTGATGTCTGACTCATGTGTCAGCACAGGTCACCCTGTCACATGAGACATCTCTCCACCCCCATCCTCCTCACCGAAGCGCTCAATGACTACTTTCCACCAACACCGCACTATACCCCACTGTGTACCTGCTTCCATATTCTGATTTGCAGGCTACTGGTCCACCCTGCTGGGGTGGGCTTTCCTTGTGTTTTGGGGTTTTGTCTCCCTTCACAGTTGACACAATCCAGAGGACAGGAATCATCTCTCCTTTCCCTCAATAGCACCATCCAACTGGCTGACCAACCGTGTGTCTCCAGCTTATGAAAACTGGGGTTAGGAAAGAAAAGCTGAGCATCTCCAGGGCTTGGCTATCTACATGCAGAGTATACCAGGAGTCTCCCTGCACCAGAAGGCATTCAGCTGCTCTCTTGGGAGTCCCCATTCTCCTACCTTACTCTGTCCCCTGGGAGGAGAGACCCAGGGGCTGATACGAGGCCCTCCAAGAGACAGAGCAGCTGTGGGCATATTAGGTCACCCCAATTCTGCCACCCAGGACCAAGAAAACATAGGAGAGTGCACTGAAGACACAATACCCTTTGAAGTTTCCAAAGGGGAGCCTCAACCAAAAGACAATCTGATAAAATGTGTTTCCACAACAGAGGAAAGGAGAAGCATGCATATTTTGACAGGAAAGTGTCTGGTGGTGATTCTCTGAACATTTCACATGAGAGGAAAAGAGAAGTGCTCAATGACTGTTTCCCACCAACACTGCATTCTGTCCCCTGTGTACCCCCTTGTATATTTTGCTTTGCGGGCTATTGCTGCACCCCGTTGGAGTGGCCTTTCCTTGTCTTTTGGGATATTTCTCTCTTCACAGTTGAGACAATCCAGAAGACAGGATCATTTCTCCTTTTCCTCAATAGCAACATCCAACTGGCTGATGGCCATGTGTCTCCAATTAATGGAAACTGGAGTTGGGAGAGAGAAGCTGAGCACCCCAAGAATTGGTTATTTAGATGAAGAGTATACCAGGCATCTCCTCCACCATTAGTCATTCAGGGGCTCCCTCAGGAGGCCCCACTCCCCTAGGCACTGATGGCCACTAGACCCTCCAGGAGACAGGGCAGTCGTGGGGATTTTGAGTCATCCCCAGGCCGTTCTAAAACCCAAAACCTGGAAAAGATAGGAGGTTGTAGGTCTGGGCACGGTGGCTCATGCCTGTAATCTTAGCACTTTGGGAGGCCGAGGCGGGTGGATCACGAGGTCAGGAGATCAAGAACATCCTTGCTAACATGGTGAAACCCCATCTCTACTAAAAATACAAAACATTATCCGGTGTGGTGGCAGGCGCCTGTAGTCCCAGCTACTCGAGAGGCTGAGGCAGGAGAATGGCATAAACCCGCAAAGTGGAGCTCGCAGTTAGCTGAGATAGCGCCACTGCACTCCAGCCTGGGAGACAGAGCGAGACTCCACTTCAAAAAAAAAAAAAAAGGATACGAGGGTGTACTGAAGACACATCACCCTGTAAAGTTTCCAGAAAGGAACCTCATCCCGAAGACATCCTGATAAGGTTGGTAAGGTGTCTGTGTCTAGGAAAGATAAGAGGAGGAGAGGCAGAAAGGTTTTCTCGGGAAAATGTCTAGTGGTTATTCTCTGCTTTCCTGTCATGTGAAATGTCCGGAAACAGATTTTACTGCAAGCCCTTGAAGAGTTAGGCTGTTGTATGAGGGTGGAGGATTTGAGGCCCTGCATCCCATACATCTGGAAATGGTAGGGGGAAACCACTTGCCCTGGAAAGTGTGAAAAAATTTAAATAAGAAGCAATGAGACCAAACTGTGTGTAGTATCCTAAGGTCCTACCTAAGGACACTAAAATCAAATTTAAATAAAACTCTTGAAAATTACTAATTTATAGGGAAATGAAATTTATGCTTAAGCAGGCACAATCCAACAATTAACCTGTGATTACATGACTAGAAATCTTCTACCTATATAGGCTGTACAAACAAGTAAGTCAGGCCAGGTGTGGTGGCTCACTCCTGTAATCCTAACACTTTGGAAGGCCGAGGTAGACGGCTCACTTGAGGCCAGGAGTTTGAGACCAGCCTGGCCAACATGGCAAAACCCCGCCTTTATTAATAATAAAAAATTAGCCAAGTGTGGTGGTATGCACCTGTAATCCCAGCTACTTGGGAGGCTGAGGCAGGAGAATTACCTTAACCCAGGAGGCAGAGGCTGTAGTAGGCCAAAATTGTACCACTGCACTCCAGTCTGGGTGACAGAGTGAGACCCTGTCTCAAAAAAAATATCGAAAAGCAAACAAAAAAAACACAAGTAATTCAAAAATTTAATCTGGTAGATCTCTAAATTATCTTGAAGCAACGTGATCATGGAGTTGAGTTACGTGATATACAGCTTTCACATAGCCAGCTGGAACTCTCTTTTCCCTGATTACAGATTCGCCTTCTTTCTTACCTATACTGTTTTGGAAAATGTTGTAAATGACTGAAGGAAAACAGGAAAGGCCCTTTCCCTCGTCACTATTTTTTTTTTAATTTAATATGATTTTTCATAATTGAGATGGGGGTCTCACTATGTTGCCCACGCTGGTCTTGAACTCCTGACATCAAGCCATCCACCTGCCTTGGCCTCCCAGAGTGCTGGGGTTCCGGGTGTGAGCCATCCCGCCAGGCCCCTCTTCACTACTGATCTCTAGAGTAAACTAACTTCCCTCTTTACTTCCTCACACAAAGATTTCATGCCTGTCACATTGTCTTCAGCTGGAATGTTAAATTCACTCTTTTAAACTGAAAAGGAAATAAAAACCAGCTAGAAAGAAAACAAGCTTTGGGAGAAAAAAGCAAACCATAATGAATTAGGTTGTTAGCCAGGTGTAGTGGCTCACGCCTGTAATCCCAGCAATTTTGAAGGCCAAAGAAGGAAGACTGTTAGAGGCCAGGAGCTAGAGACCAGCCTGAGCAACGTATCGAGACCCCACATCCGGAAAAAAATAAAAAATTAGCCAGGTGTGGTAGTGGGCAACTATAGTCTCAGGTCCTTCGGGAGGCGGAGGTGCTTGAGCCGGGGAGGTCAAGGCTGCAGTAAGCCATGATCGCACCACTGCTCCAGCCTGGGCCACAAAACAAGACATTGTTTCAAAAATAATAATTAAACTGTTGTATCTCATACATCAGCCTTCTATGGAAAACGTAATCCTGTTGTATTTATTTGCCTTTTGCCTATATAAGTGTTAGGGAAGCAGGTGCCTAGGGGAGCCAGAATAACACCAGTTTAAGTTCAGCTCCATCTTGAGACTAACAAGAAACACTCCTTGCCAGTCACAACCCATGATCATCAAATGTTTCCCATGAAGGAAACAGCCTGAAGATGCCTGCAAGTATCGTTACAGTCCCACAACAGAATGTCCCGATGTCCCAATACCCATAACAGTATGTGCTTTCAAGATAATTATAGTTCTTTTTTTGTTTGTTTCGTTTTGGGTTTTGTTTTTTTGTTTTGTTTTGTTTTGTTTTTGAGACGGAGTCTCGCTCTGTCGCCCAGGCTGGAGTGCAGTGACCGGATCTCGGCTCACTGCAAGCTCCGCCTCGCGGGTTTACGCCATTCTCCTGCCTCAGCCTCCCGAGTAACTGGGACTACAGGCACCCGCCACCTCACCCGGCTAGTTTTTTTGTATTTTTTTTAGTAGAGACGGGGTTTCACCGTGTTAGCCAGGATGGTCTCGATCTCCTGACCTCGTGAGCCGCCTGCCTCGTCCTCCCAAAGTGCTGGGGTTACAGGCGTGACCCACCGCGCCCGGCCAGACCCTATTTAATTTTAAACCTTAGCCAATCGAGTTAGCTTAGATTGTGAAGTCCAACCCCAGCCAATGAGGAAAGGACACAGAAGTCCTAGGAACTGCGTTAAGGATAAAAACCCCTGTCCTACCCCGCTCGGTGTGCTCTTGCGATCATCCGTGACTGGCGCAAGCTGCACACTTATGTACAAATAAACGTGCCTTGCTGAGGAATTTTCTGCTTAGATGCTGGTTTTCTTTGTGGCACCGGGCACTTGTTTCTAACAAACCCCATACCCTAGGCGGGATCCCCCCATATCCCTCCCGTGGCCCCCGCATAATGTGGGGAGACGCGGAGCTGAGGGCGCGGAGCTGCCCAGATTGGGCTCCGGGGCAGGGCAGCAGTTGCCGTGCAGGGACGGGGCAGGACGCCCGGGGTCCCGGCTGCCGGCCCAGCCTCACCCTGCGGCCGAGGGGACTCGTGTCCCAGACCCCGGAGTCGCGGCGTGGAGGCCCGGGTCCCGCCTCAGCCCGTTCTGGCCGATTCCAGCCCCTCTCCCAGTCGCCCGGACGCAGCCCCCTCACACACACCATTTCTCGGCTTCCAGGGTGTTCCGGCGTCCTCTGCGTGGCTCCCGCGACTAGTGTAGGTCACAGTGCAGGTTACAGAGCGACAGAAGCTCTGGTGGAGGAACCTGGCCCCTCTCGGAGCAAGAGCGCCGAGTTCCTCACCGCAGCCGGTACAGCACCAAAGGAAAGGACGAAGGGCGACTGTCCCCTCCCACTTCCCCGGATGGACTGCTGACAGGGCCCCGCCCCAGCACCCCTGATTGGATGGGGCGCCAGGCCCCGCCTCCTCCGTCCTGAGTGACAGCAAAAGCCCTAGGTAACCGGGTCCTGCAGATCTTGTCTGACTTGTTCCGGCCACAGCGTCTCTAAGCGAGCAGCCTCTCTAAGCGAGCAGCCTCTCTAAGCGAGCGCCTTCCTTGCGCCCTGGTTATCGGATATTTGCATTTCAAGGCGACTTGCTCCTCACTGTTAGAAGAGGCACTGTTAGCTTCCTCATTCAAGGAGCTGTCCCTGCTCCTTCCTTCTGCACGGGATCACAAGTGTATGCAGGGCATTTCAGACTCAGTGTTCAATGGAGAGAGACGCTTGCCTCAGAGCAGGAGGGGAGCCCAGACCAGGCAAGAGGCATGACTGCACCAGGAGAGAGAGGCAGATGTCTTTCAGGGTGCGGGAAATGGGATGAGGCATGGCCAAGGCTTCCTCACATTGCTATGGACTGCTGCAAGGTTTTCCTTGTAAGAGAGCTAACCAAGCCAGAACTTATTAAAGATTTAGAGGCTCTCAGTACTATGTATATCTATCCCTGGTGCATTGACAGTGACTGAAGA